GGTTCCATTTTATGTTTTTCCAATGTGATGATCTATCTTCTACAAACAATACCATATCATAAAATATTGATGTGTTGAATGCTTTTGATGTACATTCACGTAAATAAAATATTTGCATTCTTCCAAGGGTAACTTCCTTGTGCTGTACCACAAGGTTCTCATCCTTATGCTTTAATTCTTTTATAATTTGCTGTCACTTTCCAGAGATCTGTTATCTAAGAAACAGTGGTTGTTTAAGCTCTGATATCACTAACAAAATGCAACTGGGTGCCAAACCAAACAATATGAAATGTTTCAAATGAAGAGAATTTTCAGTCAGATGAAATTCTTGTATTGGTACCACTCTCCTTACACTTGGTTTTCAAGGACAAGATACAAAATATTGACAGTCTTTCGAGACCTTGGAATTTAATTCCTTTCTCCCCACTATGGAGGAAGATCTCTCACTAGCCACCCAGCTTCTAAAAATCATATTCATTTATAAAAAGATTTGAGAAAATGCATGCAGTTAGGAATACTTGTTATACAGTTACTTGTGCCATAAGCAAAATGCCATTATTTCATATTTTTGAACAGATATACATTATGGTTCCAGTTGGCCACTGCTCCCCATGGTATGGTGCAGCGTGGGAAAACATCTTTTACAGATTATTGAGAAAGGAAAAGATCACAATACTGAGCCACTGAGCAACAGCAAACTCAATAACACCTCAGTGTCTCAGACTTAAGTCCAATGAAGTACAGGTGAACTGCCAGCAAAGAAAAAAACTACAGTGATAATTTCTATATATCTGTTATATATTGTATTACATTATTACCATAGGAATTTGCTTCATTATATCCTTGCATAATATAGCATTTTCTGAATTAAGCAGTGGTTTGTTTTTGCATTATATCAATATGAATTAATGCCCTTTACCCATTCAACAGTTAGAATGTGGGAATCCAAAAAATTGAACGGTGGGTTTTATTTGGCATGCACAAATGGCTGTGTGTTTAAAATGGTTTCCTTGTGTGGTACACCACAAAAACTTTCAATAAAGATGTATAAAGAAACAGATTGGAACTGCTGACTACGCTAAGCTGGCGTTCACATTACTTGCTGCTTAATCATATGGAGAAGGAAAATGTAGCTACACTTATCATATAAAAGAACTAACAGCTGAGTTGAGACACTCATGTTCCTTACCTGAAGAATAAATCTTGAGTGCACCTAGGAAAAGGATGAAAGATTCTGCCTCCTATTTTAAGTGAACATTAATTCCCTTTGATGCCATTAGTTCCCTGGACTTGAGGAACTGTGGTTTATTCAAATGTTGGTTAAAAAAAAGAGCCATAATCTGAAATCAAATATTAGACTTGGCTGTATTTCATACCTTTTATACCTACTGGAGTCTCCCAGAGAAAGTCAGAGGCAGATGTCAGGAAACAGGATCTCAAACAGCCCTGAGTTCTGCTGGATGAGGTTCTCCCCTAACCGGCCAATAACCCTAAACCTGTGGCTCTCAACCATTTTTTTCTTTTTTGTGACCCATGGGAGCTCCCTTAAATATATGGCTAATTTTTTATGACAATTTTTCATCACCCTGAGGCAGGAAACAAAAAATCCTGTAAATCCTAATGTAAGTTTAAAACAGATTTAAAATGACCCTCCCTAAAAAACAGGAAGCCATGGCCCTGCTCATGTATGTAAATTAGCCAAGCTCTCTTTGCAGTCTCACCTCATCCAAATTAGCTCTTGCCCTGTCCCCAACCACTTAGCACTACTCTTGTCCACAAAAACATTGCCTCTACAATTTACTATTTTTCTGCAACATTTTAAAGCTGTCTAAAACCTTATTCAGACAGCCAAAATCTGTACTGTGGCCAGGTCCAAAGTTCATCTTTTTGAGAGAAGTTGTCTGGATTGTTAAAGCATCCTTATCAGAATCTGCAATCTCATATTTGTGATACGCTGGAGAGATAAAGTACTCCATGTACCTAATTACTATGCATTTTGGCCAGAAAAGACCACTGCAGAACCAATGGTCCTTCCTCCATGAACTTCTCAATATTTTCTGTCACATGCTATGAAATCCAAAGGCTGGATGTCATGAAAGAAACTACTCTGCTTCTTAATTATTTCTTAATTGTTCCTGTCCTGCCTTTCCTCTAAGGAGTTCCAAGTACCTTACACAGGATCACTCATTTTATCCTCACAACAGAAACCTCAAGCGGAAGGTGGGGGTAAGAGAAATGGATGGCCCAAAATTACTCAATAGCTGAAACTGTATCACCCCCTCATTTCCTATCCAATGATCTAACCATTACATCAACTGTGACATGGCTCAGCCATGCACCAGTTTCGCAAGACCAATGCTTTATAGCAAGTTTACAGTAAGCAAACTCTGTCTTTCCCATATTATCCCAATCAGAGAGACATAAATAATGTAACAGGTTTGGGCTCAATAGGCTGACACCAATGTTCAACTTCTTTCCCCCATATACATCCATACGGTTATAACAACTCTTTTGGTAAGATACCCCCACCCCCAATATTTATCATAAACAAAGGGTGGCAGTATTTATTTTTGTATTTACATTCTCCAAAGCCAAACTTTCCTGTCTTAAATCTTTACACCGCTACTCCTTCATTAAGCACTTTAGTGTTCCCTATGAGAAGTTGCCACAGTGAGCCACAAAGACAAAAAGATACCACTTGTATCTTCAGAATAAAATCAGGAATCATGAAGCCATACAGTATTGCTTTCATAAATAACTATCCCATTCCAGGAAGTCATCAGGACCAATGTGGGAAAATCAAATGCCTCTCCCTCTTAGTCCTTTTTGTTAACAGTTTTTTTTTTTTAACCTTTATGAACAGTGGCTTTATTTTCTTCTGTACTTTGTTTTTATATAGCTATATATTCTTCTATTTTATACTATTTTATCCACTGTTCAACTTATGGCTTTTATCCAGTGTCTTATTTATAGTAATGATGCTTATCTTTACATGTAATTCAATTATTTTACTCTGATGGTTTATTGAACTGAAAACATACTTTGGCAATAAATGCAGATGTGAGGCATTGAAATGAATAGGAGTAGCATAAAAATGAGGAAGATGAAAAGGAAACTAAATAGTTGTGACAGACCATAATGGAGCCTAGAATGAAGTTAAACAATTCTCTTGAACTGTAGTAAAAACTTAGACCAGCCTGTTGTAAGTCTCCAACTGAATTAAGAAAGAAACAACCAGACCCAGCATATATGATTCACACAGTAACAGCAATTAATGAGCACATCTACTATATTTAACAAATGAGGATCTTATGCTTGACCCAAAACCAGTTTAGATAATTTGTTTGTGAAGCAATGTAGGTGAAAGGTAGACAGATATTCATTTCAATCTTAAAGAAAATGAGGAAGAGAACCCTGGCCAGGAAACACGTTCAAAAGGAGTTCAGGAAGTAATCTTGCCCAAGAGTTCAGTCCCAAGTATAGGAAAGCATCAGAAAAGAAAAACAAACGGAACAGTCATTTTACTTCTTATTCAAAGGGGAGGAAAAGAGAGTCACTAGATGAGGAATGGAGACAGAAGATACACAAAGAGATAAAATTACTAGTGCTGAGGTGCATTCTGTAGGTCAGTCTTCTCCAAGGCTGTTATTAGGAAAGGCTATGGGGTAATATAGGCTTGCCAATCAAATAAGATCAGCATTGGCATGGGCATTATGATGGATTTTACCCATACCTTTTGAACAATTTCAACAATAAAAGATATATCTCAGGCTTGTTCTGATTGCTAGATACTAATATAATGCAAACATGGGTGTGTGGAAATGTTATTTTTATCCCTCTTAAAGAACTTTTGGCACTTTTTAACCACTGATTCTCCCCTTTGATTTTTATTTTCATGGCAACCCAGAGAAATAATTTAAGCAGAGACAGCTTGACTGGGCCGCAGCCAGAGCGAGCTTTACTACATTGAGTACAGCATAGAGCTAGTTATTTTGCCTCCTCTACCATCCTTCTCAAAGGAAAAAAAAAAAAAAAGAGTTGCCCTGCCCCACCCAGCCACCCACCCAGGAACTCCTATTGTACCTCTTACTGCCAGTTAGATTCAACCTTTGCCCAGACACCCTCTTTCTCTTCCTCCTGCCCTCCAAACGAAGAGGTTTGGGTAAAGCAGCTAAGTCGCCAGGCCAAGAATATTAAAAGCAGCCCCTTCCAGCCCTGCTAGATGGTTCTTCCTAGAAATGCGGGAAGAGCAAATGGTCTCATCAGCTCCAGGGGGAGGGGAACCGCGCTGAATCAGTTCTAGAGGAACAGCCACCTCATCCTGTCGCTGCAAAGACAAGGAGTCTTGGGGCGCCTGAAGGATTAACAGATTCGTGGCGTCCGTCTTCAGAGACGGGCACACCTCAGTTACGCACCTGGCGGAGTAGCTGCGGACACCCCAAAGGCGTTCGCCTTTCCCCTCCTTCTCCACGACTTCCTCAGCCTCGTGATATGACTGTGAGCGGAGCACGCCCCCGCCTGCCTCCCTAAGCCTAATCCTGCGTTCCAGGAAAGGGGAGGCAACTGGGCACGAAGAACAAGAGAGGCAGCCCCCGGGAGGGAGGCCAGCAGCCGGTGCGGCCGCAGCGCCCGGAGCCTCCGAGTGGCCTTCCCGCTCAGGATGTCGGCCCGAACCCGGTTTCCTTCGCCCCGCCGACTTAAGGCAGGCTACGCTCGATAGGCGCGTACCCCCACACCCTGGGCTTCCCGGGGGTCTTCCCCGCTGGCGATGCCGAAGCGCCGGTCCCAGCCCTCGCGTCGCCCCAGCGGCAGCCGTGCCTA